ACTCTGTTCTACACCATGTGCTATGTCTATCCTTAGTTTTGACTGACAGCTTTGTTTTGCCATATTTGACTGTATTCTCTCCCCCCGAAAAAAGTAATAAGCACTAAGGAGTAATAAAATCCAAAATGTGTAAATTTTGTTGTTAAAAAAGAGAGGGGAAAAAAAAAGAGCTCTAACGGATATAACAGCAAGTGTGTTTAGGGGTGTTAAATAGCTGACTATATTAATGTTTTTGGATCATTGAACACAGCTGTTTGCAGTTTCCCTGTTTGAATGTCCACCTTGTATTCTTTGATACTGTGATTTGAGCAACTATTTTCAAGATGATAATATGTAATCTATTAACAGGTGATTTCTTACTGTTATGTTTTTTTTTTTTTTGTAGTTCTGTATTACGTGTACCCTTACACTGCTTTGTTTTGTTTTGCGTTTTTCTCTTTTTCCTCTTAAATAAAATAAAAAAAAGAAAAGAAATTTCTCTCTTTTATGTCTTTTTAGTTACTTTTTTTAGTTTCATAGTCATACAAATAGATATTTTATATAATTTATTAGATGTATGACTAGACATTTTCCTTGTTTTTGCTGATTATATAATGATATTCTATTTTAAATTTCTAAATCCAATTATCTATTGCTGGCATATAGAAAGCAACTAACATATATTAGGTTTGTATTGTGTATCCTTGCTATATAGTTATTTATGAGTTTCAGGAATTCTACCTTGTTTTACTTTTTATGCTGATGTCAATTTTAGAACTTTCCAGACTGTCATGTCTTCCATAAACAAAGAGTTCTAGTTCTTTCTCATTTTGTATTAAGAATAAAATTTAGATTATTTTTCTTTAAAGCGGTATAGCCTAATCATTATATATTTAATTACTTCAGAAATTTTTATTCTGAAGGAAATAAAAATTGACAAAAAATAAGATTTTATTCTATACACAATGGATAAAATTAGAATTGACAGTATCAGTGTGTACATGTATGTCAGACAATTATAATTCTCATACATTGCTATTAAGAGAATAAATTTGAAACATTTTTTTAAAAAATGAAATGTTCTTATTAAGTTAAACATACTTGTAGTATATACCATGGGAATTACACAAGTAAACACACACAAACATAGAGAAAAAGAGAAAGACCCGAGAGAAATTGCCATGTAACTCTAAATCAAATTCTTGTATATGAATATCTTTTGAATTTTTTTTTTCTTATGAGTAAAATTTTCAACAATAAAAGATAATTTAATGAACATGTATTCCATGGGTGAATACTCAGCAAGTAGTGTTTTCATATATTCACCAACATGGCTGAAACGCAAAACAATATTGTGCTGAGCACAAAACCCAGACACAAAAGAGTATAAAGTGCATTATTTTATTAATGATTTTAAAGAATAGAAAAATTCAGTAACATAACAGAACAGACATAATGAAGATTGGTGTTAGCTGTTAAAATATAAAATGTGCATTTCACTTCAAAGTCAGAATCAGTTTCACTTTTTCACTTTAAATGTTACAAAGTAAAAAATGCCCTCTAATTTTTAGAAAGCTTGTGCACTGTTGGAATAATCCCACTGAAACTACCTTAGATTCCATTAAAAGCCTATGCAATCTAGAAATAGAACTCTACATCCTAGAGAGAAAGCAGCTGAAGCTTTGGCCTAAAGATGTAACCACAGGATTCTTGGGCTACAACCCATGCCCTACCTGAAACACAAGCTTCACCAGCAACACCAAGTCCTCCTGCTCACCACTGGCTCTGTTTTCTTTGCTATTGTGTGCTATCCTGTTATCAGGTTTTTATGAAAATAGTAGATGTACATATTAATATATATGCTTTCAAGTGAAAGTCAAACCAAACAGTGTGAATAACTCATCTTACCTGGGCTCTGGCTGGTACAGACAAAGCAGCAGAAGTAAACATGAAGCATTCAGAATCAGAGGGATAAAATTTCAAACCAATTATAATAGTGAAGCAAATTATTATAAATATATCCTCTCACTGTAGCAATTTTAATCAGATTGAAGTAAATTTTTTGAGATATCTAAGATGGTTTAGTTCTAAAATGTCTCCCAAAAGTCTCACATTTGGAGATAGGGCCTGGTTAGGAGCAGAAGGTAACTGGGGGCATAACCTGCATTAATGTGTTCTCATCTCAGGCTCCTCTATTCCTTTTCTGTTCCTTAGTTACCATCACACAAGCAGCTTCACCATGCCATATCCTTCACCTTGGTGCTCCTGCCTAGGAGCACAATGAGCATGGACTAAACTAACTGAAACTGTATGCCAAAATATACACCTACTTTTCTAAATTATAAACATTAGGTATTTTGTCCCAGGGACTGGAAAGTGACTAATAACCTATCATTTTCTTCTAAGCCAAGTCTTTAAAAACGCTGTTTTCAATCTTTCAAATGCCACAGTGACTTTATATACATATAAGCATTAAAGAGATAATTAATTGTTCTGTGACTAGGATAGATTCGTGGAAGAAAATAGACACCAAATTATTCAATGTAGTGACTGATGGAAAAATATATTTTTATGTTATGTGTAACGTGCACAAGCAGAATACTTCATAGAGCACATTTTTGTATTATTTTGATTACAATTAATATTTTAGTTTCCCCAAATGTTGCCACAATATCTAATATTATCTTATACTATTATGGGAATATAGTAAATGGACATGTCTCACCGGAGAAGCTTAAACTGAAATGAGCCTTGCTTTCCCTGTAAAATGTGCAATACTATAAAGAGACTGATATAAACTATTTCTTCTAAGTCATGCTATTTGTCTTAGTCTAAAATAAAACTTTTGCAGATTCACACATTTGAGGGAAAATAGTCACATAGGTCATTTCTCTACTATAGGCATCTGGGTTCAGGATGAGCCTACTGTGGGGCTCATTCAGAAAAAGCTGTGTGAACTTCTCTCTACTCCTTGTGATTCTCATATCTTTTTTCTTTCCATTCTTTTCCTCAAAATGTATAATAGATTAGAAAACGAGACTCCCCATCATTATCTCAGTGGTGTTGAGCAAACAGCACAACCATTTCCTCATCTAGACAGCTGTAATGTCTCCTTAGAAAGAGATTCCAAGAAATGATAAGACTCCCAAGATAGTTATCAGGATAAATACTCATGAAGCATAAACTGGATGGGAGCAAGAGTCACTTAAGAAGGCCCCAGACCAAGATATATCCTGGCATCTAAGAAACAAGAAATGCAAAACTTGAGTAGGGAACTCTCAAACTGCAGTATAGGTTTAAAAGTCCTCCATAAGGATGATAGGAAGTCTTGATTGAAGCAAAGACATCATATTTAAAGAAAAGATGTATAGTAAACTGAAACACCCCAACACTAATATTACCCACACACACTAATCAGTCTTTGGCTCGCCACATCTTAGAGTAAGTTGGCCTCTGCTTGAACACAGTGGTGGACTCAAGTATTACCAACAAATGTCCAGGAAAAGTTAGTTTGCTTAATGTAGGGGTTAAGTTTTTTTAAGGTTGCCCCACCAAACATCTCAAGAAGAAAACAAAGCTCAAATTTTGTGGGTTTCTCATTCTTGTTATTATTATATTTCATTAATTATTAGTTATAAGATAATTTATCATAAGGATTGCCTTAGTTACTTTTTTCTCGGTTCTATAACAAAATATCTGACAATCAAAATTAAGGAAAGAATGGTTTATTTAGCCCGCAGTTTATGCAGGTTTCAGTCCATAATCAGCTGGCTCCAAGGCAGGGTAGCATGGTTCAGAAGTAACAGTTAATGGCAATGGAAAGTAGCAAAAGCAACAAGACCAAAAGGGAGCTGCAGGCCTCTTTTCCTCATTCACACTGTATGCAGGGCCCACCTCAGGACAGGTGCAGCACTCACACCACCACTCCCAGCAACAGACAATGAAACAATCACAAACTCTAGATTCAGACACTTCTGGAGATTTAGCTCGGCAGCATAAGCGCCTGCCTTGCAAGCAGGCAGTCGTGAATTTGATGGTGAAAGGGAGAATTAGAGAAATTATATGAAACAGTATCTATGTTAAATATGTTTTATGTCTTATCCTTGAAACAGTGTTATTAAACTCACAAGGTATCTACAGATATGTAGTATATTTTTATTAATAAAACAATTGGTTTTCATAATAAACCTCACTGGATAAGTAAAACAATGCCTAAAATATGTCTGCTGGATTAATGTGCAGTGCTTTTCTATTGAAAATAAAAGCAAGGGTTATAAAAAGAGCTGTAGGCTTTTATTCAAAATACTAAGTGCCACTTTAGATGGCAACAGATTTGAGATTTGCAATGAGAAACACCATGCTCTGTTACTGCAACCTCGGGAACACGTACGTTGTTTCCCTAATCATCTTCCATTAATGCTTCCAGGAACAATAAGAGGTAGAGGAGCACATATCTCTCCAATAAGAAATGGGACAATTCAGATTCTCAGAAGTATGCGGGACATGGCACAGACACTGTCATTGTCGAAGGAAACAAGAAAGCTAGAAAACAAAGAGATGTATGTGAGAAAGAAGAGAATTATGAGAAACTGAGTCTTCTTAAGGTTTTATGGAACTGCTGATGAGATCTGATCAAATCCTGTAGTTTCTATCAGTGCGCATAGTGAAATAAACAGACATTCTATCTTATGTGTCACTTCTGTTTTTATATGGAAAAGCAAAATTCTGTATTCTTCCACATTAAGAATAACCACAGAAGTAAAGGGTCATTAAGCAATCACGTAGATTATTGGTGTATACATTCATTGCTAAACATTTTACTAGTTATTTAGAAAATTTTGTGCAAACAGAGGCTATACATAAATGAAAGTAAATAAAATCATTCATATGATAAATGATGTAAGCAAATAACACAAAACATTATCCATAAAAGTGCCATGGGATTGAATAAAATTTATTCACTAAAAATAGCAATAAAAATTTAATATCCTTCCATTGTCTTACCTTATTACTTCTTCTAATTAGAATATGTACTTCCTCTGGATTTTAATCTTGACTTTCTTCAGTGAAATTTTGACATCCTTGTTCCTCAAACTGTAGATCAGAGGATTGAGCATGGGCCCCACATTAGTGTAAAAAACAGAAGAAATTTTCCCCTCTTCCATAGATTCAGGAGAAGAATATTTAAGATACATAAATAATCCTGACCCAAAAAACAGAGAAATAGCAATGATGTGAGAGCTGCAGGTACTGAAAGCTTTGAATCTTCCCTGTGTAGATTTAATGTGCAGAATGTTTGTGATGATGAACATATAAGACACTAGGATGGTGACACTGGGGACTGTGATGTTCACACCTACCACAATGAGCACTACTACCTCATTGACATAGGTGCTGGTGCAAGAGAGTTGGAGGAGGGGCAGGATGTCACACAAGTAATGGTTGATGACACTGGCCCTGCAGAAGATCAGGCGAAGCATGCAGCCTGTGTGGGCACTGGCGCCAGCAAGGCCCATTGCATAGGCAGCAAGAGATAGCCCAGAACAGACCTGCTGGGACATGGTGACCTTATACAGCAGTGGGTGACAGATGGCCACATAGCGATCATAGGCCATTGCAGTCAACATGTAGCACTCAGAGATGACAAAGAAGAGAAAGAAAAACAGCTGAGTCATGCACGCTGCATAGGAGATGCCATTCTTCTTTGAGACAAAGTTGATCAGCATTTTGGGAGTGAAAACAGAAGAGTAACAGAGATCGATGAAGGAGAGGTTGAAGAGGAAATAGTACATGGGAGTATGGAGTTGAGAACTGAGAGCAATCAGAGCTATCAATCCTAAGTTGCCCAGCAGAGTGACAAAGTATATCATTAGAAACAGGTAAAAGAGGGGTGTCTGGAGCTCTGGGCGATCTGTTAGTCCAGCAAGAAGAAACTCAGTGACTAAGGAGTCATTTCCAGAAAATGTTGTCATTGTTGAAAATCTAGGAGAATAGAAGAGAATTTTATTAATAAAACACCCAGCTCTTCTCCAAACTCTCATTCATGGAAAGAGGGATGACAAAATTTAACTATAGTCTCCTCTATAATATGGCCACTGGATGTATTACCACGCCATTCCTCTCAATTTCTAAATCACTCTTTCATCTAAAAGAGTAAGTGCGTCTATCAATCACTCCCATCTTTGCTAGAAGATACAGGTGGAGTGGATGAGGTAACAGTGTATCTGATGATGAATTTCAGGAAGGTGAATTTGTGTTGAAAATCACCAGTTAACACCTGGCCTTTCACTTCTTATTTTCTGCTTATGTTTCCATTAATCTACTAGAATCCTAATCGCCTTGAAATAATCAATAAGAAAAAAAAAATACTCCAGAAGTATTCTCTGCAGACTGACATCATTTATAGGTCCAGAGAAGGTCAATAGAGGTTTAACATTAATGATTGCGTACTCTAGTACCTCTGCATAGTTTGCTCTATTTTATTCTAGCTAGACAGGGGGTAACGATAGGGGTATGGGTGTGCTTTCAGTGATCTTTGCTAAAGGCATGAAAGAGAATCCTAACATGACCCTTAGTGTTATGAGTGGTAAATGTAAAAAAAAATTAACAAAATTTATTTCTATTACACACAATTTCTAAATGCATGGTACATGTCAATATCTTTTTTTTAAGAGACAAATTTCTCTTTCCTTCAGTATTGCTGTGTTCTTGATCTGTCTCTTGGGGCTGCCATTGTAATCTTGGCACCAGATTAAGACTGAAGCCAACACACCATGCTTAAGAAAAGTAAATGCAGACAGTGTGCAGTCAGCGCTCCATACTGCTGAATTCCTTGCTCTTCAATAAAAGTTATCCTCGTTTTTCAGCCACATTGAAAGTGAAAAAAAAACAAACAAACAACAACCAAAAAAAAAAAAAAAAAAAAAAAAACCAGAGTGGATTAAGTAACCCCCTTTCCCTCAGGACCTGAGTGTTAACTCTTTCTGGGCACTTACTTCCACTGTCCTGAGGAGGAATTGGCTTTACAGCTCTTAGAGCTGACCAGAGGCTGTCAGCCTGCTTCTTGGACAAGCAGTGGAGTTTTCCCACTGATCTCACAAGGCGAATGTCCCCACAGCCATCCTAAAGTGCAAAGCAAACTTCCAGTTACATGTTGGCCAAAAAGATGTGGGAAAAGCGACAGACCTCACATCATGCCCACCATGTCACACAAAGAATGGCACATGCTTGGATTTTATAATTATTTGGGACTGATAGGAGCTCTCTATGGTGATAAACTAGCAAGGGAAGAAATAATAGTATCAGTGTTTACGCACTAATTCATGATAGTGTTGTGAACTTCCCTAGAGGGATTTTGCAGTCTCCAGGCAGAGATTAAAAGTCCCTCTGTTCTCATCCGTAAAGAGTTAAATATAGTCAACATCATTAAAATGTTTACTTATAGATAACATGTCAGTTTGCATAAAATTTAACATAGTTTAAATATTTTTGCTATGCTTATTTTTAATATTTCACATCCCTTTAAACAGTATTCGAACAATGTATGTTTTTTTTTTTTTTTTTTTTTAGAGGAAAAAGAGAAAAACACAAAACAAACCAAAGCGGCTTAAGGGTACACGCAATACAGAACTACAAAACAAAACAAAAAACCATAACAGTAAGAAATGAACAATGTATGTTTTGCTAGCATAAAAGGTGCTTTCATTCTTATTACTCTTTTTAATTTTAAAAGGTTGTGTAAAATAACAAAATCCTTTATTTCATGACAATTTCACTTCTTCAGGTTCTTCTGACTCAATATATCTTCCTTCATATTATATTAAAATACAATCTGCATGAAAAATATTACTATTCATTATTGACTACCATTTCAACAAAACATGATTTACATTTTCCCTGTGCATATGACTATGTTTTGTACTCACAACAAAGCATGCATTTTTATTTTTTAAATTCATACAAATTCACAAAAATGTCCTTAACAATATTCACATTCACCCAACTTCTGCCCGTTGTTTCATCACTCACCCCTGTAGGACTAGAATAGTGACTTTGGAACCATAATGTTAGGTAGACCAGTTATTAACTCAAACTGCTGAACACATACAATTGTGTTGATGGATCCATATGTAAATTTTTGCAATTCATTACCATGTATATGGTATAACTCAGGAAACGTCCTGAACCATCAGGAGAGAGCCTTGTTGCATCCTATGAAGGAGCTCTGATGACCTCTGGATAGTTATTCCTATCCCCTCCCATTCTCATCACCGTCTTTTGAATATCAATAACTTTATCTCCTTCTACACCATTTGGTCATTTTGAGGACAATAAATGGACTCACACAATGTGTAACCTCTTTGAATTTTCTTTTTTACTCAGCCTGATGTCCTTCAGGTCCCTCCAAGTTGTATGTAACAACAATGTTCCATTTATTGCTGAATAGTTTTCCACTTATAACAATCCAAGTTTATTCAAACCTCAATAGTAATTTTTAAATTAAATTAAAATTTCAAATTTTATATTAAAAATAATAATAGTAATTTTTAAAAATAATAACACAAAACCAAATCTGGTGATTTGTGGAAAATTTTTCAAGATCAAGGGTCTTAGGATTATAAGGAAGGCTGGTTTTCTAGAAATTTTCTTTTAAATCAAGAGGTCTCCTTTCTTCAAAGATTGATTACTCAGGTTTTCTAGTTCTTGTGATCTCTCAAAGGCAAGTGAACGTAGAACATGCTCCATCATTGCTCTTTATGAAAGTGAGCAACCCCACAGTGATAAGTCAGGAACAGATACTTGTGGAAAAAATATAGGTATACACAAAGGGAACCTGTAATGAATTTTATTGGATCACCTCAACAACCACCTCTTCAACCCAGGTCAGACGACACAAAGTTTATGCAAAAGAGCACGAAGCCAAATAAACACTAATTCATAACAATGAAACCTAAGTTTTATAAGACTTATGCCACCAAAATGAACATATCTCATTAAACTGCTTCTAAGGGAAAGGTACTACTAAGCAAGAGCAAAAAGAGAAAAATAAAATATCCTCCCAAGAAAAATTCAAAATTTTTCAGAAAAAAAAAACATGGATGAAGTCAATCTTAATTATTTTGGATTTTATAGAACTGCATATGCTACACCTTTTATTTCACACCAAAGTTGTCAGAGTACTCATATATAAAATAAATTTTTAGTTATTTAAGAGTTATCTTAGTCTTATAAAAGTCACAACTTCCTTGATATATGTATAATTAGCTGAGAACAAACTAAAGCCTCAGTCTCTCTTTAAATATCACATTCCTTTAACACTTACCTCTAGGACGAAGAAATACGAATAGTATTGAAAGAAATAAATTATCATAATTAAGAATTTTAGAAATGGATACTTTTTGTCTTTTTTTAAATTCATGTTCTGATCCTCCTTGAAGCATCATAGAGTACTGAAAACATTATCTAGAAAATACTATGAAGCTTTTGATGTCAATAATTATATATATTTTCCCTAAAAGTAAACATAAAGTTTATGGATCAATGCATATTTCATTATTTTAAACAGTGACTACATCCTTTTGCCTTGCCTTGATCTTTCCAGGAGAATCTAATAACCAGATGGAGCAGTTTCCTTTACAGACAGAGGTGAACCACAGGGGAGGAACAAAGGAGTTTGGTACCGAGCATTTTATGTAGTGAGTAGCTTCAGCATCTCTACTCTCTACTCAAAAGTGAGAGGAAGAGCAATGTAATCTTCCAAAGAAAACACTAAGTGCAACCAACAGAAAATACAAATAAGCTCTCTACTTTCCCTCACTTTCAGATAACTGCAAAAATTATCAGTTCTGGAGGTCACTAGCTTTGCTATATATATATCACTTCTGAGATGTGGTGCTAGACTAATTCAAAGACTTGAAAGCTACTTTTTTTTCAAAAGCAAGGACTCCTTACTTGGGCCTGCATATGTTAATGGGTGACTTATATTTGGCAAAAAGTTTGTATGTGGCACTTCTGCATTCATATAGCACCTGTTTTATTTCCTATTTTAACCAAGGAGTCATGTTTTATTCTGCTCGGTGTTGTCTGTAGATACTGTAGTCCCTTTGTGAATGTTTGTCAAGAACAGATGGCACAAACATATGTAAGTCTGACAGGGAAACCACCAAATTTGGTATTACATACTTGGCATTGGAAGAGAAATCTGTACTGCATATGAAGCTTTATTTCCCCTAGTTCTGGAAAGAAAATTTGAATATTTCAAAATAGTTGAATGAAGTAATATTTTTCTGAAAGTATTAAAATTATTCCATTTTAGGTTTATTAAAATATTGAGCTGCGTTGTCAATCATTATTTTGTAATTATTTTAAAATCCGCAAATGCTTCTCAGCTTCAAAAAAACATCTTTCAGTCAATTTAAACACTGAGGCTAAGGGTACTAGACGAATTAATTGGGTGAAGCAGGTCTCAGAGCAGCCTAACATTTAGGCTATGTCTTGGATGCCACTGGTTGCTTCTAACCAGTTCTACAGTGATAACTGAAAACCAAAGAAGTCCTGAAGAACTTCAAAAATTGTGCTGGAGGCCAGAAAGAAATTAGCTATACAGCTGAGCCTAAGGGAGCTTGGTTGTTGAAATAACTAGTACTAAAATGAATCTAAGAACACAGTAGAAAAGATTGCTTGCAGGTAATTCAGGAACCAGCAAGACCCCACTCTTGACAGGCTCGAATATGCAGAACTATAAAACTCTCACTTGAGAAGTTTCCCCCAGGTCTCTTGCTTAGGAACAACCATTCAGGGGATAACACCCAGAATCCTTTTTGTATAATCAGTGGTTTCTCAGAGACCTTGCAGCTGTGATCCAAGGGTGCATGGATACAGCTGAAGCTAGTGACGGATCTTGGAATAACACATGACATGTTGGTTTTTCAAGCAATCAAAGTGCAAGAGTCGTGGTGTCAGAAAGTCTTCCAAGTTGGTG